CAAGCGGGGGCTCACACAGGTTTCACACAGGGCAGCTTGGAGCTGGGTCCCCAGTTCCGGCTGACATACATCTGATGGCGTCACCAGCCCAGGCACGAGCAGGTGCCCGAAGATGCCGCATCGCAGAGCTCAGCAGCTTCTGTATCATTGAGCACAAGATGTGATGCTACGAAGATGACCTGCTGGCAGAGATTGCAAGCAAAGCTTCTGTGGCCTCAAAAGACTCAGCGCTCAATTCTCCGCCTCAATCTTGTGCAGGAGCCCTGCCGCCGCCAGCTGCGGAATTACTTCGTACTCACAGCCCTCGCAATTCCTCGCGGAATTGTCACACACTCTCCTGCAGCGTTTCAAGAAACACGAGAAAAGTTAAGACCATCGAGGGACATGTGGAGGAGGCCGAGGGATTCCGTGGAAAGGATTCTCCAGACCAGCTCGACAGCCTCCACGCGGACGTGGGTGCGATGCTCGCGGAGCCTCCCGTGTTTGAAGTCGCTCACAGAGTCCAGGAACAAGCGAGTCGCCGAGAACTCCATGGGCTGGAAAAGAGAGCTTCCCACAGAGGCCATGAACATCTCACCACGCTCTCGTGCTTCCCCAAGACCGTAGTTGTGTAGATGCACCAACTGTCCATGCTCGTGACCACGCCATTGCAACTTCAACTTCTCGAAGAACCTCGATGGAGACAAACCCATAAACGATATGATAAAAACTATGACCCGAGATGGACAAGACACTTAAGCATCATGCAAGGCACTCTACGACAGGCTCGAACATGTGAATTCTTGACGGCGTCCGTTGTAAGATCTGCCCGAGCTCTTCTGGTCCGGAGGAAAATGCTCCGACAATCCACACTTCTCTGCCTCGAGGAATGCCGAGCTCGTACTCCTCAGGATTCGACACGGACATCCAGTCAAGATGGAAGATGATGGCTGCGACTACCGTAGCACTCCCACTCGCGCAAATTTTAACAGCCATTGCCTTTCAAGAGTTCGCACCCATGCTGCCCAGATTCTTGGCCGGGACGATAGAAGCGCTGCATCATCTCCAGATCAAGGGTGCGCAACACCCTCACTGAGAGAGTGGGGATGCGGCGTAACAAGGCTGAGAATCGAAAGGAATCTAAAGTCCCAAGGCGCTACACGATTTGGCTTTGACGAAACCCTCTCAAGTATGAGCTAATTAGCTGGGTTTGCTTGCCAACATCAGGCGGAGAGCTTCTGGCTCAGCACGTTTACAGCCACACACACACACACACACACACACTCTGACTGACACTCTCACTGGCCCACGGTTGCAACCGCAGTTTCGCTCCCGGGCTCCAGCAAGCTTTGGAATGCGCAATTTTCGCACACACACACACACACAAACGTGCGCTTCAACTTCACACCATCTGGCCCCTGACACTTTACGACAGAGCTGATCGGCGCCTGAATCCCAAGCTTTCGTATCAACACGGGGCCTGTCCGGCATGGACAGGAAAACCCATTCCTCGCAGCTGCGCTCAGGGAGCCTCGCTGCACATTTCCATTTTGGACATCTGGGCATTAACACTCAGACAAGGGACAGTGGCCGCAGCGGATGCTCATGGCCGAGGATGCCAAAGAGGAACAAGAGTATGAAGCGGCACCGAAATTGCAAATTTGGATCAACTTCCAGGTCTTTGGCAACCTTCTTTGCGCTCTCTGTTGCTCGATTCATCCGGCTCCAATGCTCAACACTACATACAAAACACAACTTAACCTGAACAACCCTAAGCAACGTTCCAGCATCGTCCTGCCATCTGCCAAAGTGTGCCATCTGCTTGCCATGTTCCCTGCAAGAAACTGTCCAAGCTTCAACAAATCATCAAGCCGTAGTGAGTGGTGAAGCATTGCTACCTTCAACTGAGAACACTAGCATGACCATCCATCAACAGAATGACATGCGCCTGCAGAAGATCATTTCGATGCAAGTCCAGGTCATCCTCCGTGGGTAGGGGAGAATCACCTGGGTCCGACGGTTTGCATGACGGCAACATTCACGACCATGAGTGATGATGGCAAAACAGAGAATATCAAACCTTTCTAGAACATTACAATCACTGACCAGAACATAGTTAATAGTTAATATTAACATACATATATAAACATACATATGCTGCACAATCAACCGCTGCCTGTGACGACATCACCAACAGGCGCCATGGTCTCGACGGCCAAACGACAGCTCACCCAGCTTTCATGGTTTCAGATAGGCCATATGCGCGTGCAAATACAACATAAAGCACCTGTCCTCACCTTTGCTGTTCACGTAAACAATCTCATCAGTATGGCACATAAAGCATGGGCCAAAACTCCCGACGAAAAACTGTCACACAACACCAATGTGACCTGAGTACAGCTGCAGGAAAAACAGCTGGATCTAACTGTCGTTTTGTTTGCTTAAAAACGGTCTTGTTGACATACCTTCTGAAGTTGCAGGCTTTGGGGGGCGTCGAAACGACCTCATCCCCCCAAAGTTACTAAAACACACATTTTTGGTGCTTTTGGGCCTGCCACCAACAAGTGAGATTGTTGCTCCAGGACTGGAGTTCGGCTTGCAACATTTTTAGGTCAAGGTTTCCCACCCAACATCGCTTGAACACATTCTAAGGTTTTAGAGCAACTGCAAGAAGCGAAAAAGATTTTATTAAACTAGGAAAAAAGTTGCGAAGAGTCTTTAAATTTAGCTCGATCTTGCTTTGCATGTTTTGTAACTTCCTTGCACGTTTCTGCAAGTCTCGTAAATCGCCGAACGCCGCAAATTCGGCGACATTCTGCTTTCTGACATAAAAAGTGGATTTGAGGGAATGTGGTGCACTGTTGCAGCTCTCAAGTTGTGTCTGACAACTGGGGAGGTCACTTGAGCTCTCCTACCTTTTTGATAAATTTTAGTGCCCCTCACTTAGGGCCTCAAATGGAATGGATCTCCTGCACTCTGTCCGAAAACAATCACACGTTCTTGGTCTGTTGTGGCC